CCAACGTTCCGGCCCTGCTGGGGCCGGCGGCACCGAGACGCCGCGTCCAGCCCCGAGGGCAGCGACACCGGCTGAGGGCTGACAGGGCCCAGACTCCTGCCGCTTCGGGCCGTAGCGGCGGGGTACGGGGACGTTCGGGCCTCACGGTGGTTGCCGTGACGAGAGCCAGGTGCGGGCCTAGGAGACACGGCAGCCTCCATGCCCGCACACCCGGCCCGGGGCTCCCTTGTGGGCAGCTGGGCCGGGGCCCTGCCTTCGGAAACTTGGCAAAGTGGCTTCGTACAAAGAAGCGCGAATATTTCCATAGCTTTGTCAGTTAACGTGCTTCTCTCACTGCTGTGAAGCATCCTCAAATCGTCCTCAAGAGGCGCAAGTTTGGTTCAAAGTAAAATACTGCAGTAGGACCATTTTAGTTTGATAGCTTCTTTTTTTCCCATTTATTTTCTTCATCTGAATCGCCCCAAGTTCTCCCCAATTTCCTCTCGGTGAGTTTTCTGTTTTCCCAAAAACCTTGCACAGCTCTTTTTGCTGGCTTTGACTATTCAAAAATCAGGATGCTCCCTGAAAATGAACAAGCCTTTTAAAATTACGGTACTGAGTTTGAACTTTCTGAAAGAGGCTTTTTGATAAGCCGGACTGCAATTATTTTTCCCCTGCTGCTTTGTCAGGCCGGCCTGGCTCTCCCCTGCATGGGGCTGATGTGACATGAGGTGGGGTTTGGGCTCCCTCCTGCGCACCCCTGGCCAGGTCTGCACCTTGTGCCCGCGCCCCCAGGGGGGTCCGACATGTCCCTTGTGGAAACAGAAGTGACGGCTGCCCGGCACCGCCAGGAGAGCTGCTGTCAGGAGACTCCCCAGCTTAAACTCTCAACCCCCCTCCCTCCAAAACAACTAGTATTTACACATATGGTAGGAACAGTGACTATAATCACAACCACATTTTCTGGAAATGTTACCTCGTTTTATCTAACCGCCTGGGCAAACTTGTACAGTGAGAAATAGAAAAAAGTATTCCTTTGCTATTATAAGACATATAGGGAGTTTTCTTGAGCAGCCCTTCTGCCACAGCGGGAGAGACCTGAAACTTGGAATTTAGCAAGGAAATAAGCTCCAGTCATACAAGGACTAACGCACGCATTTCATATTTCGTGGTCTGGTGAAATCTGTTTTCATTTTGGCTGCCTGACAGAGGCTTTAAAAATATATGTACGTACTTCATTTCTTCATGCTAATTTTTAATCTACTGTAACAATTTTTTATTCTATGAGAACAGTTTCAGCTAATGACCTTCTAGCATTCTCTTGGCACTGCTGCTATGGGTGTAGGTTGAGAGGAATTTCTCCTGCCATCGTCAGTCTCCCCGTGATCTTTTAGCTCTAGATGTGTCCACAGGGAAAACCAGTTGGAACATCTCACGGTGGGATGGTGAGCATGAACCCAATGGGAAGCCTTAATGCACGGGAAGTTGGTACACAGCAGCAATTAACATCTTTTCCTTCCTGATTTTTGACAGCTGAAAAAGGTTAGAATGTTGGGCAGGTTTGGAATTTAAGCAGAGGCTATAAAAACTATTTGGGACTTGTACACAGAGGGATAAAACTCTGCAAGGAAGGGGTCCAGACCTAACTCAGTGAATAACCACTTCAAAGTGGATTATTAGGAATAAGCAAAGGGAGTAGAAGGAATGGAAAAAGGGATTAATCAAAGAAAACTATGTCTTAGAAGTTAGGAAGTATAGGCATAAAGGGAAATGTGCCAGAAGTAAAGCCGAGTTAGACCTCGCAAAGGAAATTAAAACAAGTAGCAAAATGTTCTCTGGGCGTACATACAAGGAGATGAAGGAGAGAAGAGGTAGGGGTGATGAAAGGGGGAGGCAGGACACAAATGAATGCATAATATATAGTGGAAATGTACATAGAGGAAATGAATGCATGGAGATAGAAATTATTTCATCCAAGTGGAACAAATCATAAAGGTCATAATGCAACAATAATTTGGACTAGATGATCATCATAGGTCCCTTTCAACTGAAATATTCTAATTTCTGACCCAGATGTCTAACAGCACTGACCTATCAAGATTATATCTGGCTGTGTAACAGCATCACTGCAGGAGCAACACAACACAATTTGAAAGCAGGAATAATTGTTCCAGCATTTAAAAAGAGGAAAAATGATTGAAGTCTGATCCAAATAAAATACAAGGCTTTTAGATAAATTTAGCAGGAAAGAATAATACCAGACATGATGGCACATACAAACGGGCTAAAATACAACATACATTTACTGAAAGTGGATAGTGCTAGACTAACCTGGTGACTTTGTAAGGTAACTAATTTTCTAAACAGAGAAAAGATAGTAGATCTATTCTGTCTGGTAATGAATAAATGTAGGCTGGACATTAGAGGAAAATGTTTAACCATCAGGGGAATGAGGTCCTGGTATATCTTTCCTACAGGCACAGCTAGGGCAAACAAATGTATTATAAGGTAACACTCTATTCATAAAAAAGGATAATATTTTCCCTTCCTGAGACAGCACATATCCCTAAATATACCTTTCTACGCATATACTTTTAATATTTTGGGCTGTTGCTTCTTGGTGTTAAAGCTTACTGCCGTAGGCTTGAAGCCTGTGTACTCCTTTGCCCTTTTATCTGCCTTTTAAGTGTCTGTTCTTTTCTGCTGTTCTTAATGAGCAATGAGATAGCAATGCTGCCT